GCGGTGGGTGTTCTTTTGTCAGTTTGCCCCATGTGGGAGGATTTATGTAATATGAGCACCGCCACCGAAATGCCGCCCGGCGCCGGGGGGGGGGCGGGGGGGGAATTCTGGGAGTTGAAGTCCACGTGTCTTAAAGTTGCCAAGGTGGAGAAATACTGCCATAGAGCCTCCAGTTAGAGAGTCAAACTCCACTTGGTCCTAATGACCAACCTCTAAATGCACCATTCAACCACAACAGGCAACTAAGGGCTGTCGCTGGGCCTTGCCTCCTCCATCAACTCCCCAGCTGCCCACAGTCCTTAAATAAACAGTGTGAATCTGCCCAGAATTGGCTGCCCGTCCTTTTCCTCAGATAACCCCAAGCTCCAGAATTGTTGGGGGAGAAATCTGGGGTTTGGGTGACGGAGCTCCTGTAAGATGCTGCTGGTTGTTGCAGGTCAGATTCCTAGTGTTGGGCCTTCATTTGAAAAATCAAAAAGCCCCGGAGATCTTTTCTGGCCGTAACGCTGGCAGTACCAAGAGGCAGGGCTCAAGAGGGCAGAAGGGATCTGGCACCGTCATGTGGGAACGCGCAGCTCCCCCAGCCTTTGTGGTGCAGGGAGAGGGTTGCATTCCCCAAGTGGGCCAAGGAACTTGTCTTGGGGGCTTTTCTGCAAGCCTCTCCTGGCAACCGAGTGGCCAGAGACCCTGACAGGCTGCGGGTGACAGCAATACTATCTTGACATCCTGGACCATGGAGGACTAGCTGCTTGGACCAGCCAAGCCACAGGGCGAGGAGGCGGGCAGGGTCAGAAAGTTAAAAAGGCACGGCTCCCTCTGGCTGGTCACGAATCCAGGACACAGCCCACCTTGAGTTCCTTTTACACGCCCCCCTGAAATGCACCTGCCTGGCTTGTGAAAGTGACCATAAGTGGGTCCAGAGTGTCTTCAAGAGAAGGTCAAAAAGGTTGAGAAGAGGCTGTGAAAGTGCAATTGAAGTCCCGCCTGTTTTTTATATGCATTACAAATAAAAACCAGGCAGAGCCTCAATCGCACGTCCGACCTTTTTGACCACGTCCTGCAGACACTCCTGAAGTGGGTAGCAGCTTGACCCAGCCTGGCCCGCCTGCAGCTGCTCGTCCAGCCGGCCTGGGGGCTGGAAGAGCCGGTGGTGCATCTGCAGGGCACCAAGCTGCCGAACGTTGGGCTAAGACCAATCCCAACCAGAGACCTTAAATATCCCCAGACCCCCATTTGCCCCTTCAGCAACCCTTCTGAGATTCACCCCCTGCACCCACTCCCCTCACGGGTGTCTGGCAAAAGCCTCAGTGACATCACGTGCACCATAATGACATCGCCCTCCCCTGCCTTCTCTGCACCATCCACAGCTTCCCCCATGCACGTTTGCATGGACCAGAACTGGTTCGTGCACCCACATTTCCCTCCAAAGATTTATCTCCCAGGAAGCTCAAGACAGAAGCTGAAAATTCAAGAAGTCCAAATTTCACCCCCTGCATGACCTGAATGTTGGGAGAAAAAGGGTCAGGGCAGCCACGTTGGAGGCACTGCAAAGGAGAGATGGTGGAGAGACTCTTCCAGATGCCCCTGCAGGAGGTGGGCAGCGGACCACCCAGCCAGAAGGGCACCAAGAGACCCTGGCAGGTTCCGGCACAAGCGCTGCTAAGAGTTACGACGCCTGGGAGGGGCGTTTGTGTAACACTTCCGAAGCGATGGTTTACAAATGTAGAAAGAGAATAAAGGTCTTTAAAACAACCAGAAAAGTGCAGAAAAGTGCGTTGCTCTTTCCGCCAAAAATACGCGGGGGCGGGCGAGAGAATGGAAGTCTAAAAAGAGGAACGGGCAGGCCCCCACCCCGAAAGACAAGGGAAAGTCTCCCTGAGGTTGAACTCCACCCCGATGACCACGCTGCAAAGGGGCACGGCCATGGCACTTTTCCTATTTTTCTTCCGGTCTTCTCAGCTGCCTCGGCACCTCGTAGCCCTTCCGGATGCTCTCAGATCCAAGCCCCCTTTGAGCTAAGCCCCACTCCTGGTGGCTCCATGCTCATATCCCCATGAAGTCCTTGACAGCACCCAAAGCGGTGGGGCCCTGGCTTTCTTCCAGGGTGTTTCCCTAATTCCCCAGTCTAATTTACAGCTCTGGTCTCCCCTCCAGCCACTGACCACTCCTGATGAGGGGATCTCGAGGGAACCCGTCTGTCAGCTAGGCTGGGAAGGCGAAAGAAAATCCAAGAGAAAGCAGTGGAAAACGGTCAACCAACTATTTGGATCAAAGGATTTACAATCCAGGAAACAGACACAGGAAGGTAAAAGGAGAGGAAGATGGAGAGAATGAAACAGGTTCATTTCCCTTTCATGTCTTTATACATAGTTGTAAGCCAGGAAGGACTAAAGCAGTGTTTTTCAAACTTGGCAACTTTAAGATGGGTGGACTTCAACTCCCAGAATTCTGGAAGTTGAAGTCCACTCATCTTAAAGTTGCCAAGTTTGAAAAACACTGGACTAAACCATGAAGTGGGCACTCCATGGAAAAAGGTAGGTGTGGAAGGAAATAAGAGAACCTATAAAGTGGCCCCTGGACCAGTCAAGGATCCGCCGTCAGCCCCACACATACAAAGACCTCTGTTTCAGAGCACCCTCATCAAACTGATGGGGCAGAAACAGAACTGATGGGTTGTCCTATCTTCAGCCCTGTGGCTGAGAGTCGTCTCAGAAGTTCACTAGCACCAAGTGAAGGCCGCTGATCTTCCCTGGCCATCTTCCACCAGCATCGGCTATTCTGAGCTGCACTACTATCTCTGGATATCCCCCCAATATAGTCATTGGGTCTCACTGGGAAGTCCACCCCAAATGGAGCTCTGCAGAGCTTCTCACATGCATGTCCAAGAGAAACTCTAGAGGCTGGTGGAGAGGGGCAAGAAGAGGTGGAGCATCTTGGGGGGGTTCCTCCTTCCAGGCTCACGCTCCCAGCAGAACGTCTGCCTTTCCCCAGCCACCCATTGCACTCCAGCTTCTCTCATCAAGCTGCAAAGGAAACAAAGGGCAGGTCCTGAGTCCTCACCAATTACTGTCAAGATGATTGCGCCAACCACCATGATCAGGGTTTGCAGAGCATCGGTGTAGATGACTGCCATCAGCCCACCTGGAAGAACGCAGGGTACAACGTTGAAAGGGGTTGAGACAACGGGTTGGTTTCCCCCAAAAGCTGAACCACAAACTAGTGCAGAGAAAGTCTCTTTCAAGTCACCTTCTGGTGGCTTCATGGGCAACTCTCAGCAGGTGGTACCACCCAAACCTTGTCTGAGTCTGAACTAAGCAGGGCCAGGCCTAGTGACTAGTTGGATGGGGGAGAACACCAGGAAATCCCAAGGTGGTAGGTTAAACAGAGAAGGAAATGGCAAACAACTTGCCTTGTTGCCAAGAAAATTACATGGAACTTCAAGGCAACAAACCCTACTTTAGCTTTGTCCGCTTTGGTGGTGCAAATTCAGCTTATGTTTCAACTTGGGGATGGTGAGAACTATGGTCCCATTAAAGTCCTGGAGGAGACCACGTCAGGACGAGTGCTCTATACGTGATAGAGCAATCAGCCTGAGATTTTGTGAATCGCCTGCCCTCTTCATCTTACCTGCAATGGTATAGACAGCAGTTATGACCAGCATCAAGACGGTGGAAAGGTAGAGATTCCAGCCAAGGCAGACCTGAATGAAGAGGGCTCCCGAGTACAAGTCTGTCTGCAAGAGAAAACCGAGCACTGTTTTAGTTTGGTTTAAGCCAACAGCCTGGGATCGAGGCAGGGGAGGTTAAAAGCCACATCTGCAATGTGCTTTTGCATCAGGAGACACAAAATGGAGGGTCGGCCCACACGCACATGTTACGGGCACAGCGCTACGTTGAGCCTCACATTTCTGTCCAGAGTTTAAGCATTTCAGAGCTCATTAGGAAATGCTTCGCTCCTGAGCCTTGACACCTAGACGTTGGTTTTGGGGGAACATTTCTGCTCAGGAATTCCAGCTCGGTCCTGTGAAGTGAAGGGCATTGTCTGCGCAAAATGCCTTCCATCTGTGCTTGCGCTCAATACATCACGACTCTGCCCTTGCCCGACGCGGCTTGTCAACAAGACTGGAGGGGCAAAAAATCCTGAGCAAGGTTTTGCAACACGTCCCTCCCCGAGTTTAGCTGCTTCTCGGGGAGGCACACCCAGCTGCCGAGCTGATGCAGAGAACCCGAGAAAGCTTATCAAATGAAAACACCCTCTCCAAACTCCGGAGAGTTTCAGACACGAGGATGCGGTTAACGCCAAGACAGGACTTTGCCTTGCAACCCATAATTAACTTGTGGAACGCACAGCCGGGAGACGTAACAGGATAATCAACAGCTCAGATGGCTTCCAGAGGAGTCAACACAAACACACGGAAAGGAGGAGTTGGACTAATGGTTTATTAGCCAGGGTGGTTAAGGATTGAACCTCCATGCTCAATCTGGGAGCCAACCAGAATCCCGGGGAGCATTTCAGTGAATTCTCAGAACCGAGGGGAGGGGAGGGGAGGGGAGGGGAGGAAGAAAGCAAACCCCTCTCTCTATTTTCCATACATAATATATATTATAGTTTCAACTGTATAAATTTGACCGACGAATATTTGTTAAATTTATATGCCGCTCGCAGATAATGAACCGATGGGGTGCAGCTATGGTCGAGGTCCGAGAGACTGACCTGGCCTGCACGTTGCCCCAACCTCCCACCGGCCTCCCCATTTTCATGGGCCAAGCCAGAACGCAGGGGTTCACGCAACCCCCATGCCACAAACCATGGCTGACAAATAATGGTTCAGAAGAGAGCAGACCATGAAGCAGACCCCACAGCCCCTTCCCCAGAGTGTTGGGCCCCAGGCGTGGAGGGCGGTGGCTCTTCTCCGTCCCTGCTGGCTCAGCAAACCCGTCCGGCCTCTGCTGCCTCCGAGGCAGAGGCGGCAGGCGGCAGGCGGGCGATGCCCAGCGCTTTCACTCTTCCAGTTGCACAGATTTCTCCCACTGGCACCGGCCCTGCCCTGGAGTTGGCTGCCAAGCCCTTTCTGCACGCTCGGCTCCAGTGCCAGCTCCACACCAGGCTACTGAAAAGGGCTGGTGGGTCCTCTACGGAGCCTCGGGGGTGGGGGGGACAAGGGGCTTTTCCCAGGCTGGCGGTGGCTCCCTTCAGGGCACTGCCCTAGGAAGCCCGCTCAACCCTACTTTACGTTTTGTCGATGGACATTTGCTGTGCAAAGAGCTTTTTCCAGAATCCCGAGGCCGAGGGCAAGACTCTCTCGGCCTTCCACTGGCAGCCACGCAATGCTGACCTCTGCATGAAGGTCAGCCCCAGACAGCCCCCCTTGTGTATTGGTCGCTTCCTTGAAGAATCAGTTCAACTGCGGGCCGTTTGCCCCATTTGGCGCCAAGATTTGCCAGACGTGGGTAGGGAAAAGGACCCCCCTCTGCCCATCCTTGTTCCATGGGAACAGAATCCTGGTGACTCTTTGGTGGAGCAAAGCGGGCTGGACACGGGCGAGGCTGCCTGGCACTGGGCTCCAGTCATGCACATGGCCTCCACGTAAATGCCAGCTCTTTTTGCTGGTTTTGTTCCAAGCACCCACGTGGTTTCCCAGTTCGTGGACGGTTCCAACAAAGCCCACTTGCGCTTCCAGAGCCCCCCGGGCCATCCACGAGATGAGCAGG